AGGCAGCAACCCTTCTCATATACAACTTGTATGTGAAGTGCTGGAAGATTACCAGGTACCTAGGTATATAATCCATTCTCGTTGCTTAAGCTGCTGTATATTCGCCTGACGTCCAACACGCAGTTAAGAGGTAGGAGAAGTGAATAATATTCCAAGTTCCAGCTCCTGCTCAACTAAGTAGCCAGTCTCAATATCTCGTAAGAACCTATTCACCTCACCATCCCTGTCTGCGTCTACAGCAAAACCTAAACTTTTAACTGCATTATTCTAGAAAATATAAGTGGCTGCACGTCTAATTCCCGCCCTTGCGCGTACAAGATACCGAACTGACGGGACCGTCCCGCTGCTTCCATCGACCCAGATGGTCTAATGTACTGTACTTAAGGTAGCCGACCCGTCTCCCGAGGCAAAGTAAACTATAAGAAAAGAGGGTCGCGGGGAAGAAGAAAACGTGGGGTTACGGTATTAAACTTTAGCGGTCGGTAAACTTTTGAGATGCGTCTCGAAGCGTGCCTTGGTTGGAGCAGTGGGTAGCGTAAGAGACGAGCCTCGGCTTGGTTACTGTACCTGGGCTATTTCTGCGGGGCCAAAGGATCCGCTTACTTTTCACCTCTACTTTTATTCATACTTGGTGGCTTATACTCTTAAGCTGTGTAACATAATTGATTCATCCATCATTGAAAATAGCTAAGACATATTTCACCAGCATTGAACTATTTCAAAGGTAACAAAAGATATATACAATTATACCTATACAATTGTATACACACACAATGTCAAACTTGGTTAAGGTCTCGTACTCGGGGCGTATAGCCACCATCACCATCGACAACGACAAGAAGCTCAACGCCCTGGATATGGACGGATACTACGCCATTGCCAAGGCCCTGCGCGAAATTGCCCTCCGCGACGACATCTATATCACAATTCTGACCGGAAAGGGTCGGTATTTCTCCGCGTAAGTTCAGCCCAGCTAGATGAGACAAGACTATGCCTACACATACATATCGAGCGCTCGGGGGATCAATAAAACCGTGCGAGAGTGGGAGACATTTATCATCCGAGCTCATAATACATGAGCTCAGGCTCTCGTTTCACGGCCCCCTCTTACACGGAAAAGACACCAGCCATGAACAACGACCGAACAGCCGAATGATTAAACACACAGATAGATTCTAGCTAATCAAGACCCAAACCACAGCGGCGCCGACGTCTCCGTAGGCCGGGACCTGCCACCAGACGCAGACCCCTACAGAGAATGGCTGCGCACCTTCGTAGCGAACAACCTAAACATAACGCGCGCCTTCTACAGCCATCCCAAGATCCTCATCGCGGCGCTCAACGGGCCAGCAGTGGGTCTCAGCGCCGCGATAACAGGGTTCGCAGACTTCGTCTACGCGGCCCCGCACACCTTCCTGCTCACACCCTTTTCCTCCCTCGGCCTCGTCGCCGAAGGCGGCGCCTCGCACGCCTTCGTGTCGCGCCTGGGAATAAGCAAGGCCAACGAGGCACTGATCATGTCGCGCCGGATCCCCGCCGACGAGCTCGTGGCGACCGGGTACGTGAACAAGGTGTTTCCCTGCGAGAAGGGGGATGACGAGGGGTTCATGCGGCAAGTTCTGCGCGAGGTCGATGAGAGGCTCGGGGAGCATCTCATTGGGGATTCGTTGACGGGGATCAAGGCGCTTATTAGGAAGCCCGAGCGCGAGATCCTCGATAGGCAGACTGTGGCGGAGGTCTTTGCTGGGCTGGACCGGTTCGTCAGTGGGGTTCCTCAGAAGGAGTTTCAGAAGATCGCTTCGGGCCAGAAGAGGCATAAACTATGAATGATATAGGGCAGAACATGGGCTTCAAAGGGTAGGAATGCGTATATAATGGGACGGAGGAGCGGTGAGCCGACGTTGGTTATTGCGAGAAAGCGGACTTTCGTACATGCTAGATTAATGCAGAGCTGGTCAACTCGTCTAGCCTAGTCCTATTGCTATAAACATGTATGTATATGTCATCCCAAATAAAATCTGTAGGTATCCATGGGTATCATCACGCGAGCAGACCAAATAGCAGACTCGTCCTCTTCCAGTACTCCTGCGATGCTTTCGCAAGGCGCCGCTCAGCTTGACTATCCAGGCCTGTCTTCTCCAAAACTTCAGAAGCGAGCTCTTTCATCGCCTTATCAGAGTCGCTATCCCCAATGTTGAGGTAGTGTTGTAATAGATTGACATCGAACAACCACTGGATGAAGACGTCTTTGCTGCGCTCTGACGCCTTCTGAATTTTTCTCTTTGAGGTGTTGTCGTCATCATCCTCCTCTTTCGAGGTATCGCTCTTCTCATCTTCGCCGTCCGCCTTGGACGCGGACTCGACCTCGCCTAAATCTGGGACAGGTGCTACGAGTTCCTTGCGCCAGATGTCTGCAAGCTGTTGACTAAAGATGCGCTTCAAAGTCTTGACAGCAGCTGGGGTCCAAAGATCAACCCCAGAATCGCCCATTGAAACGGTGACATTCCGTAGAAGCTTGAAAGTGCTAGGTGAAGGCTGCGTAGGCAGGGCTGGCTCTCCTTCCCATAATGCTCGGCCAGCCACCCGTTTCTGTGTGAGAGTTGTCGAAGTAAATTCTTCTAGTGGTGCCACAGATACATGGTTTGCAAGCTTTTCGTGTAATGAAGGGACGTTATCCAAGCCGAAAGACTGCACACCCTCAAGCTTCGGCAGACGGCTTCGGATATCTCTTAAGACCCGGAGTAAGTACGCCGCAATCGGTCCGTTGTCCAATCCGTCCTTTCGCCCTTGCCATAGCGTTGTGAGCTGTTCGTCCAAGTCGTCGAACGATTTGATTAGCGTCTCCTCTAGACGTGTATATAATAAACGCGGGTCGTCTTTGCTTAGAAGTTCCTGTCTAGTCTCAATGACCTCTTCATCCTCGATCTCGTCCACATCATTATCCCATCTCTGTCGCTTAAGCTGCTCGACCAGTTCCCCGACATTGTCAATTATGTGATGCCACGATACAAAACTGGTGACGGCTCGTGCAACAGCATCGTTCCTCCCGTAAACACGAGATACGACTTCATGTGTGATCTGAGCAGCGCTGACTGAAAAGTCCATCGTGAGCATCTCGTCGTCCCATAAGCCACGTTGCTGATCAGTGATTCCAGATTGCCACGCCTCTAATGTGGAAGCAACCTCAGACCCAACGAGTTTGAGCTTTGCAACCTTTGATTCTATGAGTTGCAACAGATGATCGTTTATAGCTTTTCGCAAGCCGTCAAGCATTATAGAGGGATCAAACCCTCTAGCTTTTCCGCCATCCCTAATCCATTGCTGCAGTGTGCTTGTCCGTAGTTCTACGATGGCTTTGAATTCTGGGATGTGCTCGAGCGTCTTCCTTAGGCCGCGTAGGACGGTCTCGCCGCCCTTGTTTGCCCATCCCGTCAGCATTTCCTTGGCCTGCTTGCCGTCTAAGTCGTCATGTCGTATGAAAGGAGTGAAGTACCGAATGTCGTCACCACACCACGTCTCGAAAATATCCAGTCTTAGACCTTCTAGAGATCGTAATGCTTCATCAGCGAGGAGCGGTTTCTTCTTAAGCTCCAGCAAAGCCTCCGGTAGCTTATTTGGCACCAGTGCTTGTACATCCACTAATGTCTTAGTATATAGCTCGAGACCTTTGAGGACATTGTCTGTGCCCCTGTCCTTCTCGTGCTCCTCGTAGTCGAACTCATAGGTAATGGCCTCGGCCCTAATACTCAGGAAACGGCGCAGAACGTCCCTTGTCCCCGAGCTTGACGACAGACTATACGCGGACAAGGCTTTGATAATATCGGTGATGTCCGTTCCCTCTCCAACCTTTTGCAGCACCTTCTCGACGGCGCGCACCAGCTTTCTCCTTAATCCGTCCAAGCTCTTCTTTGCAGCATCGACCGCACTCCTAACTTCCTCATCGGACGCCTTCAGGTTCCCAAAGCTAGACACGAGCAGTCGACTGAGCACGAACACTTTGGCAGCAAACACGAGCCGGTCCCCCCTTCGTCCCTCGCCGTCTTTACTCGTGCCCGTCTTCAGCAGCCAGCTGATAGCAAGCCCGCAGGCCCTGAGCAGCTTGACGCGTGCAGCCCTCCCCAATGCCGCCTCAGCATCCTCATTACCGCGAAATCGCCCCAAGCCTATCACTTTGTTGTCCACAACAGTGCGTCCGCATTGACTGCCCATGTGGCCCAGCACCTCCTGCGCCGCCAACATGTCACCCCGCATCTGCACGATGGTGTCGGCGGTGCCGAGGAGCTGGCGGTAGCTATTGCCGACTTGGGTGCGCAGACGGGCGGATTTCTCGTCGATCTGGGTGTGCAGCGTCTTGTGGATGGCGCGGATTTGCGGCAGCGTGTATGTCGTGAAGATCTGCGCTGAGCTTGTCAGCGTCGACGTATCGGGCGTCGCCATTGTCGGCGTCGTAGAGGCGAAGCTCGTCCCTGGAGGGGAGTCGTGGTGTGCTATCGCTGTCTAAATATTGGTATGATGCTTTCCTTAGACCAGGTGTAGGTAGCTCTCTTTGCGGAGCTTAGTTGAATCGCTGCTGCCAGATCATGGAGACAAGGGTCAGTTAAGGTGGCCAGTTGAAGAGAATGAACAGCTGTTTGCAGCTGACGAATCAAGCCAGGCAAGGTAATTCCAATTCTTAAAGAAACTCTATTCTACGCTGTAATCGCTAAAGGCTCGACGAAGTACATATATTGAAGCAAGGAGTATATAAATAAGCTGAGAATTTTAGCAGTAGAAATCATACCATCTAAAGGATGAGGTATACTGTATTTAGAATCAAGATCCAATAAATGCTGGAGGAGTGCACACCATCTCGTTATCTATATGGTAGCAGTGCCCGGCGATATCGCATCAACGAGCGACAACCCCTCCTGCCTCTAACTAAGCTTACGTAGCTGATCAATTGCACCGCAAAAATGATTAACTTTTAACGGTGTATCTCCTCCTTGGAGAGCAAAATATACTGATGAGAGTGGGACTCGAACCCACGCGGATTGCTCCACTGCGAAATTCATGATATTTTGACGATATCAAGTCCAGGTTTTGCCTGAACGCAGCGCCATAACCACTCGGCCATCTCACCTGGGAGGTAGTTTGGCTTATCAGATACTATGAACGGTGGCTCTCCTAACAGTCTCGTCGGACATCTCAATCGGAACTCTAACCTAGGTGCGGTGCTATTTGTAATTAAAAAAAAAAAAAAAAAAAAAAAAAATTAATACTGTGATCCCTGGGTAGGTTGTGTGAGAGGATCACCCCCATTGGAAGGTTGCAGCGAACTACTCGGAATTGTCACGAGTGCGAGAGACGAGATCTGTCTTAGCGGCAAGCCTCCAGATTACCAAGGTTCAGTTGGTCATACTCTTGAATGGCGCTTTAGAGGCTCTCTCATCTCTCCGCCCTCCGAGGCGGCTAATGTCTAAGATCCATTGAAGTAGACAGGAGAAATCATTCCACCTTCTTCTATTCTACGTTGTCATCAGAATTCGGGTTCGAGATCATGGTTTCTCCGTGATTGCGTAGGGAGAATGAATGCGTGCTCAACTGTGCCGTGTGTGTTTCAGGTGAACGCTAGTGTTCTATAGAATTCGAAATGCTAGAGGAAAGAGTGCCATGAACGACGGTTACACTTTCCTGCCGACGTTGTATTCCACAGTACTACCTAATGAATATGGCGTACTGTAGGTAGGTATGACCAAACATCTCTTCTACGAACTCTAGAGGTTTGACTGCTGGGTTCGCTATTGCTTCACTGTCCATGTTTCCCAGTGAATCCCTATCGTTAAATCATCGAGGCCACGAACAGGTTTGATGACCGGGCAATCTTCTCTCTAATCTTCTTTCTTTCTTTCTTATGCCTTGCCTCTGTACGATACGTTTACCCCGCAACTACCAGTCGTCAAAGACAGCAAATGCAGCGACGTAGGCCATGACGTCTTCTTCCCAAAAAGCAAGTTGTTGCTGAATACCTATTCCGAATATCTCGTGATGGGGATTCTACCTTGTGGTGTCGGCTCATAGAATGTTCCGGCGGCCAACGCCTCCAAGCCTATCCCCCAGATTGGCATGTAAATTATGGAGAAACTCCTAGACAACATGGTGGCAAAAAGGATTTCATCGACAAAATCTGATACGCAGAACATCTGCTCATCACTGCGAAGAGGTCGCTCGCTGGTGTGCTGATTGGCAACAATGGGCAGGAATGATTCTCATGCGCTTGCAGCTCCGTTCATGCTCTGCCCCAATCCCGACCACCTTGGCTGCGCACGGATGGGGTAGAGCCTCTTGACCTTTCTCTTCCTACCCTCGCCCGCGTACTTGCGACAGCCTAGACTATTCAACCGGTCCTTTTCTTCTCGGCTACGAGGTGTGGGCGGCCACACCTCGAGTTATCCTGCTATCATGAGCAGGCTCCTAGGTTAGCTCAATGTCCAATCAAGCCGCACACGAGCCCAAACCCGTTTGTCAAAGCAGGTCGTCTCTTCCAAGCTAGCTGTTCGAGCATAAACTCTGCCTTGGGGTTCGCCACTATCTATCGTCTGATCTTCACTATTAGGCTTTTAATACTTTTCCTCCCATCTTCAAGTCCCTCTTCGGGTGCACCCGTACTCTAGCTCACGATCCAGATCGTAATGATTTCATGTTTGACCACCTGATGTCAACAATTCAGGGTCTCCACGGGGAACTCCTGGTCTGTCGGAATGGACATCGTCAATCTGAAGCTAAGTGCAACATACGGGACGGCTCTCTACGATCTCGCCACCAAAGGAGTAAACTATCTCGTTAAGGTCCGTTATCTTGAGTGGTGCTTCAGTTGTCTCGACCTCCATGTCCATAATCTGAACTAGCTGTTTCGAATATCAGTTGATATCCAGTGAAAGCAACCCAAGCGGCATAGGTACTTTGAACGAACAGACCTCGAGTCAACTTGCACCTTGGAGTATCTAGCAGTGTCATTCGAGCGCGGCCATGTGGCGATCCGATCCGATCCATCTGACACATAAGGCTGATTTATCCGGTCGCCCTTCTGATGCCGTTCGGAAAGCTCAACTAGTCCAACACTTCGTGTAGATCATCTTCAAGCGGCCAGCAACTTGTATTGTCGTGTTGGCCTTCAGGATTGCTATACTACTATATCTGAAGGCTTAGCCCTCTCGCTATGAGCTTAAAGGGAGGATTAATTTTGAATTCTTTTCTCTCTTCCATCTGAAGCGTTTAGCCAGCTACTACACCACGCTTTGTTTCCGTGGCACAATATCTCAACATGTGCGTGTTAACAAGTGACAAGCTTCTTATGGTCGAAAACAACACGGTGGTGGCTATGCCATCTACTGATCCATTTAGCTACTCCAGTACCCAACAGAACCTAGCAATAGGGATTATCATAGCCATGGTGGCTCTTGCCTTTGTTGTACTGTGTGTAAGAGTGGCTGGCAGGGTATCATCTCACCAATTTGCGCTAGGTAAGCAATTTGCGACGTGTTTCGAATAAGAAGCTAATATGTCGAATAGATGATACCTTGGTATGCATAGCCATGGTAAGCGGCCGCCAGCTCCTGATTGCCGGTGAACATGGTGAACTGACGAAATGTCATCTGTAGGTATTGTCGATACTGGAAACAGCGGCGAGTTATATGTGTCAGTCTTGAACGACGCGAAGATACAAATCCAGTAATGTATGCTGACCTATTCAAAGTTATTAAGACGAATTTCATAGGAATCAGATGGGAAGATATTCCGCCTCACGATCCGATACCGGGTCTGGTATGGAACTATGCAATTGAAATTCTGTACAATCCGATCTTGGCCTTGGTGAAAACATCGATATTGCTCTTTCTGCAGCGCTTATTTGGACAGAGGCCAGGTGTGAGGCGTTTTATCCTGTGGATGAACGGGGCCAATATCGGGATGATGATTGCGGTTTTCTTTGCGACTGTGCTTCAATGCATCCCTATCAACAAAACCTGGGAGCTTGGTCTGCAAGGGACGTGCATTAATAGGAGGATCCTATTCACAATCTCATCGTCGTTTAATATCGTCACCGATATGCTCATGCTCGCACTACCATTGAGGATATTCATCAATTTGAAGATCCCAAGACGTACGAAAATCGCTCTGATGATTGTTTTTTTGTTGGGATTTCTGTGAGTATTTACGGGATATTCCTATCCATGAAGGAATAGCACCTGGACTAATAGCTTTGCAACCTAGGACGACCATCACGAGCATCGCCCGACTTGTGCTCCTCGTACAGGGTCTGTTCATGCTGAAGACGAATTTGAGCGCCGACGCCAATATCGGCTTCGTGACGTCCGCGATCGAGACGAATCTCGCGCTCATTACGGCCTCTGCACCGGCGCTGAGACCACTTCTTCGGACATGGTTCCCCAAGATATTCCGCGTTGATCGCGACGAGATAGTCGGTAACACGGAGCGTAGGGTCCTAGGCACGGCAGCAACGCGGATGACGCGGCTCAAGTCACAGACGCAGCTTCAAAGCCAGAGCCCGCGGAAGAGCGAGGAGGCGATCATGACTTTCAATGGGATTGTTAAAAAGAGCGACATCATTATTCGATACAACCCCCCGTTGGACAGCTTGCGACCGGCTACTGCTCCGCAAGACCTCGGCAGCCAACAGCAGGTAGAGAAGTGGATATAGGGCCTGCGTGTCCCTCCTTACCTTCTACGGCTCGGCTCTCACTGAATATGACAGTAAAAAGCCGAAACAACTATTCGGGTTGTGGTTTTCTGGCGTTACATGTGGAAGACATCAATTCATATCTGGTGCGCATCTATATGGTTCTCAACTCTTTGGCGTGTGACGGCGTAGGAGTTTCTGTTTGAGTGCATTAGGACTTCATTCAAAATTTGTATGTACGCATTTGTCCTCTTTCCCAAATACACTGTCTAATATCGATCTATAATGCAAAGTATATCATTGAGAATGAAAATCTACGTTCAGACCGAGCATCGCACTTCACCGTCTTTTCGTAGTGCAGTGTAGCTCAAGATATCAATTATCTACTAGAGGAATATTATCCCGAATCGCGATCGTGACTAAGGATGACCTGAGAGAAATGCAGGCCCTGTCTCAGATACGGACGATCTCTATCGTCGGCTCCGGGCCGGCCGTGCATCTCCTCTCGAACACCCCGGATTTTTCCTCAGTGGTTATTCGATCAGTCCCTGACGTACATATTAACCACACACGACCCTGGAAATACTCTACTTCAACTGCCTACAATATAACTAGAAAATTTAAAAAAAAATCCCGAGTCTTTCCAGGCCGGTAAAGATTTAAATTATAATCCCAACTATATAATTTTATTTTATTTGGCTGTACTTCAGATCATTAAAGTAGTAGAATTCTGATGGGCGAGAGCCTGTGTGTGGTTTAATGGTGTACCGACTACTATTCGATGCACCGAGTATCGACGGTGGAGAAATCACATGCATGATGATGAGTTCAGGCCCTTACATACACCCTATCTGCACGATAGGCCTATAAGAGGCTAGCTGATACGTCCTTGGCACGATATGTCGTTGCGGCATCCCCGCGGTCCCTGTCACCTTTGGATAGATACGATTATGCTCTAGTAGCATCTGGTTTTTCATTGTTTTTATTTCTTAATTTATTTTACTTTTATTTTTTACCTTGACTTTCACGCCAGTCTCCACTGGAGTGAGAGAGACGACTATCGGTTGCTGCCCAAAGAGAAGTTGATTTTCCATCTACGATTTCCGGTTCTTACGAAGAAAAGAGCAAGATGCCCAACCTTGTATGAACAGTTCTTTTGTCTCGTAGCAGAAGGATGTAACGGCATTCAGAGATCTCAGAGCACTCCTTGTGAGAGGCTTCCCCCATTCTGAATGGTTTCCATGGTCAGCCACTTTGCATATCGTGCAACACATCGTTTTCCTGTCTTCTCTTACCCTTATTCGTCGGTAATCGTACATGTGTCACGGGGGGTGTGCAGCCATGAGTTCTAGGCCAGATTTAAGGAAATGACTGGTAGGTCGAATATGATATGTATGCGCCTGTCTCTCGGCAGAGTTCTCAGTCCCTCGATATCTATGCCTTAT